AAGATGAAATACACGCTAAAATTATTATTATTATTATTATTATATGAAATTTCGAAAGTCTGATTTTAAGGTTAACTTATAGCGAAAATTGACAAAGTTATCTGTTACGCAATGGCATATATACATTTTGAATTGAAGAATTACATTTATTTATAATATAAATTATTGAATAAAAGCAAAAAAAATATTATGTGTGCTCATAAAAAGAATATGCTTGAAAAACGCGTACTTGAATAAAATGAAAGGAGCCTTCGGTTAAATGGCAAAATGTTATTGTTCGTAGTGATTTTTTCTTAATTTATTAAACACGTTCCGTATATGATTATATTTATTTCTTCTAATTCATGTATGTGTTTGAAGAGTAGAAGAAATAGATATATATTTATAAGGATCACACCGACCCTATTAATAGTCGCATTAGCTGTACAGTTGGGCACTTTATTCGGGTGGTAAAGTACATTTATTCGTGTTGTAGTCCTGCAATATGCTTCAACATATTCAATGTTGTGATTTTTACGTAATTATGGGTGGAAAATATGTTTGAAACCTGTGTTAATAAAAATTTCATGGAAAACATAAAGTAACACATTTGATTTTCTATGGTAAACTGTTGTCGCAACTCAATTTTAGTCTCTTTTTGTTTTAGCCTTTTCTCATCTTCGAAGATATGTGATCTGGTGAAATTCACTTTTTTATGTTATTCAGAGTCAGACGTAACTCAAGACCTGGTTAAGTGATGCATTTCATGAAAAATTGAAGAAGTTACAGGTATAGTAAACTATCCTATTTTCTTCCCTATTTTTTTCTTCCTTTTTTATTTTCTTTCCTATTTTTTTCCCTTTTTCTTCCATTTGAATCTGCTGGAATTGCCGCCTATACCAAAGTTGAGCGTTTATTGGTTCAAGTAAAAGCCGCCATTATACCCCCCACTCATCGTGCGCGATGATTCACCTTGTCATGGTATAAACACAAGGGTATGCTCATCATATATGTAATACTACTATATGGCTAGTGCCTATAAGAGGGAGTGAGAGGAAGCGGTCCCAGAACCACGGTGCGGGAATATATATTTCCCTCTCTTTCTAAGAGTACTTTGAGTGTTGTGCGCATGCGTTGGATTGATTGCATCCGCCAATAGGAAAATAGAGTGCGATCAGTGAGATGACGCGAACAGGACATGCTCGTTATGCTTATTA